TGTGGTGTAATATGGGTTTGAATCCAGGTGCCCTCATTATCCAGTGGGACATCTGTAGATTTTTGCTTACTTTGTTTGCTTTTGTTTTCTGTCGCACAAATATGCAGCAACACGTAGTTTTTACAGCCCCAAGAGGCTTTTTTCCCCAACATGGAAAGAAAAGTCATGGAAAGAAATGGAGCCACTTCCAGTCGAGCTGAAGGTGTCTTGTTATATTATTTAATGAGTGAAAACTAAATGTGAAAACTCCAATGAAAAGACTTTATCTTTTAAATGAAAAAAAAAATGGGCCAAATCTGAACTATTATTGTTCAGTGCCCCGTCAGCAATTAGATACCTCCCCACAACCCCAGGTAAAAACACGCCTAACGTTGGTAATCTGATGATTTAGGACTTACGATTTTAGCCATTTTTCATGTTCATGCAACTGGAGGTACCGTATTCCCCGTATAAAAGGCGCAGCGGATTATAAGGCTCAGAGTAGAAGCTCCAATAGCTTCTGCGTTAGCATCCACCAAATGTAGCTATGCTAAAGAGAACGTCAATAAAAAGTCAGATAATCAGTCAGACTTTATTAACAAACACAAACCAGCGTTCTGACGACTCCGTTCACTCCCATAACGAACAAAAAGCTGTTTTATTATTCTTCCCGAGCTAATGTCGGTGACAGAGTTTATCTTTTAACAACAACAATGTTTAACAGGTAGAGCAGCATATTTATCAGGTAGTGGAGGAGAACCTTTCATCCATTCAGTAAATAACAGAAACAGTCTGATACGTTACGTTGAATCAAACGTTAGCATCACAACATTATAGCAGCTAGCATAAAGTTAACCAGCTTTTCTCCTAAAAAACAAAACCGCAGGTATAAAAATATTTGATCTACCTGTTGTCGTAGATTCAACGTTAACCTTTAATGTCCACATCTTTTTTTTAAACTGCCACCTTCTTTCTTTGCATCCACTTTTAAAATGGGGACTAATAGATATGTACGTTGTGCAGTACTGGAGATCCCCAGAAGGTGGCGCCTCTTCGCCTAGTGCTACTTCTTCTACGGGATAAAAAGGAGTAGGCTGCTTCCTGTATTTGCCAGACCTTTTGAGACACATCCTGATCCATATATATGGAGCACCGGACTGTCGGTTTATTAGAAAATTGAAGATTTTTAGGCGCCTTTTGTACGGAAAATACGGTAATCTGAATTCTCTCACTAGGGTCTAAAAATAAGACCTCCTCATGGCCCAGGAAACTTTAAAACCGGGTCCAACTGACCTCCCGAGCCTGAAATGATGTTCAGTAACAAAGTAGAACTACTTAAGTACTGTACTTAAATACCAAAATGCAGTATCTGTACTTTTTTGGAGTATAGATTTTTTCCCTACTTTTACTTTTACTCCACTACATATTTTTGATTAATAAGCTAGTAAAGAAGCGCTAGTTCAGTTCTCCCTGTTCACTCAGGACGTAGCAGCTAACGTTAGCTAAAGCTAACCTAGCTGGCTAGCTGTATGATAAAGTTAGCTAAAGTTAACCTAGCAGGATAGCTGTATGATAACGTTAGCTAAACCTAACCTAGCTGGCTAGCTGTATGATAAAGTTAGCTAAAGCTAACCTAGCTGGTTAGCTGTATGATAACGTTAGCTAAAGCTAACCTAGCTGGCTAGCTGTATGATAACGTTAGATAAAGCTAACTTAGCTGGCTAGCTGTATGCTACATGCTAGCATAAAGGCTCAGCTCAGGATTCTGACTCTGGAATAATAAATAATAGTAGATGAAGTGCTGTTGATGCTAATGCAGATGTAGTTTTCTGTTTTTGTAAACACCTGTATGGCCTTTCACACGTTTGAAATAATATAAACAATATCTATCACACTTTTGACTGCCTTTTTTAATATACACAGTACTTGTACTTTTACTTATACTTGTACTTTCGATAATAGAATAGCAATTTTTGAAATACTTCTACTTGCAATACTTAAGTACAAAAAAATTGAGTACTTCCGTGCTTCCACTTAAGTATGGAGTTGAAAGAACACTTCAAGTTTTGCTCAAATCAATTTTTTTATATAGTACTTGTACTTCTACTCCAGTACTTTATACATCTCTGCGAGCCTGCCAACGCATCCAAAACTCTCGCTAGCTCTGAAATCTGAAGCTAAACGCCCCAAACGCAGACGGAGGAAACTGTTCGGTTTCCCCTGAGGTCCTGGAGCTCCGTCCCTCTCATCCAGTCCAGCGTGGTTTTTATTTTATTTCCGCAACATTACAAACAAACACAAACGTTTGAAAAAAAAAAACGCCCACGCGGGAGGACGGAATAAGAAACGCGTTGCCGTGGAGACGGAGGAGCGAGAAAGGGAGCGAGATGTAAACATGTGTGCCAGCCTTCTGCCGGAAAACGCCAGTGACCTTCCTCTGTGTTCGGGTGAGAAAAACGTGAGTTGGAGAGATTTGGAGGAAAGAAAATCGCTCTATATAGAAGAATTTTACTCTTGTGCATCCCTCAGTTTCACACAGAAGTCCTTAAACCAGACTAACAATCTTAAATGTGAAGTGGCATTCAAAATATATATAAAAACAGTTTAAAAAGGAAAAAAAATAAAGGAAAATCAAATCAATTCATTAAAAAAAAAAGGTTAAAGAGATACCTTTAACCAGATTAAATATCTTGTCATTTTAAATAAACAATCTTAAGCATTTTTATAGTCAAACTACACACAAATTTGCTTGTACAAGCTCCTAAAACAAGAATATTTGAAAAAATAAAATAAAATAAATTGTTTGGCTACCCATGTTAGTTATTTCTATATCTATATGTTTATTCATCTATTTGAAATGAAGGAAACATTTTTTTTCCTGGACTTTAAGAAAAAAAGCTCCACATATTTTCTGGTTAGAGCTCCTCCTTGTGTTGTTTGTTCTGCTTGTTTTTTTTGGAATTGGAGACAGAAACAGGAAATTCTCCCTATCTGGATCCCTCCGGTAACTTAGAGGACTGGAAACTCACAGCTAACGGTTAAATAACGTCCCAGAAACCGACCCGGCTGGATCCTTCCAGTATTCAGGGCCTAGACCGGTGTTTTTAAACCATTTTTGAGCCAAGGTACATTTTTTCATTGAAAAAATCTCGAGGCAAACCACTAACCAAAAATGTTAAACAAATCTGTATCCGCCTATGATGACACTATAGTTATTCTTATTTTATTCTTATCTTACCTTAAGTGTCTTGAATAGGAATCAAATAAACACAAACATGTATTTTTATCATATTTTATATTTCTTCTTTCAAATTGCTCTTAACATGTCCACTTCAATATACAAAATTAAATACAAAATCTAGTCATAAGGAATTATTACATGATTACTCCACCAGTCACTAGAACAGCACACACACTCAGAAATGGAATATTATTTGCAGATAATTAATTACTTATCAAAAAATCTTTTTAGACCAATTAGGTGAAATAGGATGATTTTCTACGGCACACTAGTGTACCGAGGCACAGTGGTTAAAAAACACTGGCCTAGAGTTTCTCCATTTGACCACGTTTGCTGGGCCAAACCCTTTAGCCGAAGTCTTTAGGAAGCTTTAAACTCCTGCTTTATATCACGTTTTTTTAGAAAATCTTTTTGCAAAGTCGGGAAATCAACGTCACAAAGCAGTTTTTGAGTGACTGGATTACAGTAAAGGACCCCCTAAAGGGCATTATTTCACTTTCTTTTAAAAGTGTTTAATTGGATCAGGGTTTGAAATTGGTGGGAATCTGGTATTAGCCAGCAGGGCTAACAACTCTGAAAAGTTTAGTATCAAGCCTGTTTCATCATGGACATTTTTTTTTGTTGATTCCCTGTTTATTTTGCATGTATTTGATATAAAAACTTAATTTGCCAACCCGTCCTACCCCACGGAGCTGAGCACATGACCCAAACTAACCCAAACCAACCCAAAACTGACTCAAACTGGTCTAGAACTGGCCAAAAACCAACCCAAAACGAACACATACCAGTCCAAAACGGACCTAAACTGGTCCAAAACAGACTTAAACTGGTCCAAAACGGACTTAAACTGGTCCAAAACGGACCAGAACTGACCCAAACCAACCCAAAAAGAACACAAACT